ATTTTGTTGTTAGAATTTTCTATTTTATAAATATTATTATTGTGACTCAACAATTAGAACTTAAAAGTTATAAATAAAACAAATAAAAGGATAATAAAATAATACAACACAAATACAATACACAATGCATTTTTACAATAATTTATATTAATATAATATATAAAATACATTACGATCTGATATTAACACACAAAATATATAACTTGTATTAAAAGCATCGTTGGAACCGATGTTTTTTAGTATAAAAATATTTCTAGCAAGAAAAACTGTCACGTTCTGTATAGTAGTCAAATTTCGTTAACTCTTTTATTATTTAAAAGAAGTAAACATTTTTCAGATTGTACTTAACCCTGATTTTCAAAATTATGATTATTGATGCTAAAATATACATTTGAATAATGCACGATATTTGTTCTTTTTCAAACCTATTTCTTTAGAACGAAAATTTTCAAAACTCGATATATCAAAGAACTGAAATAGTTTTTCTTGTAAAGTTATTTTCGTTGTTAAAATACACCTGTCGGCTATCAACCGCCGCGCCGCCACTAAATAAAAATCGAGAAGTAGGTCAGTAAAAAAATATTTTAACTAAAGTAGTTATTAAAATATAAACTATAATTTTCAAATTTTATAGAATTGCAGTAAATTAGAATAATTGGCACAGATGCCCTTAATAAGGTTATAAATTCAACTGCAATATTAAGATATGTATTTCATTATACACTACTAATTATAATATTAAATAACTTAATGAAGTTCGATAAATAGAATGGTTGACTTATCAATTAGTGTGATAAAATGACAAGTATAAAGACGGTAGTTACCAATTAAAATATAAGACTTTGAAATTTATATTTATATTTAATTAATATCATTAATGCATAYATATGAAAACACTTACGAATAAAAAGGTGTAAGATTGTCTCATTTAAAGTATGCCCAGGCCCGTCGTAAGACATTTTCCACCCTAAAGCGAATAAAAATAATAGTTAAATTTCTGTATTTTTTGGAAATTTAATGTTACAATTTGCCGCCTCAATTTTTTTAAATGTGATGCCGCCCTAAAGCAACGCATGGCTTGCTTGTACCCTAGCGACGGGCCTGAGTATCGGGTCGATCATTAGCAAGCCCTCATTATCTCAAAAATTATTAACGTTATGAAAATATTTATTTYCAACGATTAAAATTCATTGCAAAACACAAAAATTTTTTGACATATTTTTAAGGGTCTTACCCATGCATTTTCTTATTCTTAAGCTGTTTCTAATTGTTCAGGGCTTTTCTTTGTATAAAATGAAAACGATAATAATTATATTAATAATRTTTTCAAACGAGTAATTAATTAATATAAGTAGGTATCTATGTAATATTTAGTTGATAAGAGTATAGTGGAACAGGACTACAGGAGTACTGGAGTAGGTACTCCAAAAACTTTCGGTCTATTACAATTCCACTCTACTGACATTTAAATACATATAAGTCTATCATAAAAATTAAATTAAATAGTCATTTAAAATTTTATGTTTTTAAATCATGAAAATTTAATACTTCAACAATATTTTTTTTACCTACATTTTCTCCTGTAACTATATATATATAATATATATATATATATTTTTTTTTTTATTTATGACAGTTAAAATATTTCAACATACCTATAATTCATGCTATTACAAGTTTTAGATCACAATTTGTTTAATTACGATTAGTTAATATTTTTGGTTTATAACTATGTATGATATTATATTCTATCAACGTAAATCATGACTCAAAGCACGTAATATTTTTTCTGCAAACGCTATAACAACAGCAATAACAACGGCGGGATAATAATGATAATAATACGCATTATAATGATAACACCGAGCAGAACATGTCGGTTTCGTTGAAGGCTGGTGGCGGTGGTGATGTTTTAAAGAGTGTTTAAAGATGAAGAATACAACGTAAAGTGATGTATTTTATTTTTGGGATCATAGCCAAATTTTATAAGGAAAATGCGGGAAAAAGAGTGTGGTGGTAAAAAAAAATGTGGGCTCTTTTATATAATATACTACGAGCGGATATGCTTTTAAATATAAAACTTATCTGGTCTGCATATAGTCGAACGAGCGAGAGACCCAACTTTGCCACCAAAATTTATGTGCGGTGTGGGACCTAAGAGAAGAAAATGAAAAAAAAACTTCTCCGAACAGGAAGTATAACAATAATAAAACGAGAATAAAGATAAGCGAGTTATTGTCAGATAAGGAAAGTGTATATTAAAGCAAACTTCCAAAAAAAAAGACGTAATATAAGCTAACATCTCAAAATATTTCGATAGATTCAATAAACTCGCGCTTATAATAAATTATTATCAAATTTTTGTCCATAATACAATAAAGCATTTGATGAGGTAAACAATTTAGTTAATATTAATACGATTACTACTGCACTAAAAATAAATATATTAATGTTCTTGTTTAAACATGGATAGTTTAATAATAATTATTGAAATTCTTTCAGCCATCATTTTCTGAAATTTATGTTAAACATTAACCATCTTTCACATTATAATACCAAATACCATATTCATAAATAAATTCAATTATATTCAAATACTTCAAGTCTTTTATATTATTTTAGACTTAGAAGCGTTTTGTATTTAAATGTTTTTTAAAAACATTCTAAGCATAAAAGTAGATATTWTAGACGTCATATACTGGTTAATGTGCAAACATCTTAATATAAATAGACTTGTAATTGCAATCCTTATTCTTTAACGCTTATCCCGAAACTTTTCTAAGATACATCCACCTCGCGATAATACTATAGATATCAAATATCAATTTCATCTTTTTTTATTATTAAAATATAATAATTACAATCTATACACATATRATTAGCTACAATAAGTAATTTTGATTTAGGTTACAATACAAAAATAGCGAGATTGACAGATTGGCAGAGCACTTAGTAGTGCCACCTGTCAGATAAAATTAAAAGATCTCTAGGCCAGGTCAGTTTAAAACGTCTCTGGGGGTTATCGAGGATTGTAAAAGAAGATGGGCGTTTAATTAGTGGATTATTGTGGTGAATTAACTTGGAATGAAAAAAGTGAAATTTAGTCAATTTAGAGAGCGATGGAATATTTAGATCTTTGTGGAGTTTGTTATTCGTGATAAACGATGGAGCATAGACAATTCGTTGCAGACAAATTGGCTGGAATGCCCGAATTGTTTTCATATTGGAGAGTTTTTCAAAGCCTCGTATCTGGATTCCGTGGGACCAAACAGATCTGATAATGACTTAGTTTGTTAGAGATTAGTGATAACTGTCTTAGATCAAAGAAGAGGGAAAAACAAGTGGAGTTRACTGTTTTTCTTTTGTTTTTATAATGTTAGGCTAAGGTTAGGCGTCTGTCAAATGTCAAGCCAAGGTATTTTATC